TGGTTTGACAGATTCAGAAAGGCCTTGATTGATTTTGGCTACACTCAAACTCAATCCGATCACACTTTGTTTGTGAAGCGCGGGGGATCTTTGGTGTCAATCCTAATTGTTTATGTGGATGATATTGTTGTCACTGGGAATGATCTGAGTGAGATTGATAGTCTGAAGAGGAACCTACATAAGGAATTTGAAATTAAGGATGTTGGAGAACTGAGATACTTCTTAGGCATCGAAGTTGCAGGATCGAAACATGGAATTTTTATCTCTCAAATGAAGTATGTCTTAGACCTTCTTCAAGAGACAGGGAAGCTTGGAACGAAGGCAATTAGCACCCTTATTGACCAAAACCATAAAATCAGTGCAACAGTAGGTGAACCAGTAAAGGACATTAGGAGATATCAGAGACTTGTGGGTCGGCTTCTATACTTGTGTATGACAAGACCAGACAACTCCTATGCAGTGAGTGTAGTAAGTCAATACATGTATGCCCCACGAGTCCAGCATTGAGAGGCAGTTGACAGGATCCTTGCTTATCTGAAGGGACATCTAGGCAGAGGCATATTGTTTACTAATCATGGACAGTTGAAACTAGAGGCTTATACAGATGCAGATTGGGCAGGATGTCTTGATGACAGGAGATCAACTTCAGGAGTGTGCACCCTATTTGGGGGTAACCTAGTCTCATGGAAGAGTAAGAAACAAACAGTGGTGGCAAGATCAAGTGTTGAAGCTGAATATAGGGCCAGGGCGCATGGAGTTTCAGAACTTCTCTGGATCCGTTCTCTGTTAGAAGAAATTGGTGTACAGGCAGAAGAACCCATGATGCTATACTGTGATAACCAGGCAGCAATTAACATTGCCCATAACCCAGTCCAGCATGACCGAACTAAGCACATTGAAGTGGATAGACATTTTATCAGAGAAAGGGTAACTTCTGGAGAAGTCTGCCTTCCATACATTGCTTCTGATCTGCAGTTCGCTGATGTTCTCACAAAGGGTGTTGCAAAGAACAAGCTAGAGCATGATCTACGCAAGTTGGGAATGTGTGACATTTACTCCCAACTTGAGGGGGAGTGTTGAGTAGGCCGGTTTGTTTTGTTGAGTGGCCCGGTTTGTCTTTAGTTTGTTTTTATTTAATTAGGAAGTTGTTGGGCGTTCGGCCCATTAGTTTTTTATTTTTTAAAGTTGTGACTATTCAGTTTTAGTAGCCGCCCTACTAAGGGTATCCTTGTAATATATCATCTTTAAGTTAAATATAAATATAATGAGGGGCTGGCGGCTAGGGTTTAACTTTCTCATAACTCTAGTTGACCTCCTACTCTTTTCTTCTTCTCCTTCCTTCTCTACTGCTGAAGTCTTCACCTTCCCCCTCTTTCTCTCACAAGAAGCTTGACTGAATCAGCAAATAGTGATTTCTACTGAAGTAAAAAGGCATATAGGACTATATAGATGGCTCTATAGCGAAACTTGCAAAACAGACAAGTCTGGAATATTATCTCTAAGGTTTGAATCAACGAACTATGCTATTTCAAAGCTTCACTTCCAATATTTTGCTTAAGGAAAAAAGGCATATGGAACTATATAGATGTTCTATGACAAAACTTGGAACAACCAAGAGAAAATCCTTGTAACAACTGGGAATTTTTTGTACGAGTAACTGAAGCTTTATTGTGTAGAATAATAAATATCTCTGTACAAGAAGTGCCGGGCACTACACAAACACAGGCCCCTATTGCCCCTAAATATAATCTTTATCTTTACATTCAAGTCAATTGGTTCTCCATTGGCAACCCCCAATACCTATTATTTCGGTTTACACCTTGTTTAATTAGTGTGTCTGTCATACTGTTTCCTTCCCCTGGGATACAGCAAATCTGAACTCTCAACTCCCTTACGAGCTTTCTTATGTCTCTTAATAAGTTCCTATACTTACGTGGTCCTGGATTGTAGTTTAATAAGTACCTAGTTCTTGTTTAATAATCACCTTCTGCCATGATATTAGAGAAATTTGTAGAGAAGAGTGAATGTATTTCACTCATTAGTGGGCTTCGGCCTTACTTATGTCATTCTTTTATTTTATTATTTAGTTGTTTAGTTATGAGCCTGAGTGTGTTGCTTGCTTATTATTTTTTATTTGTACCTCTCTTGCTGCTACCTTATAACTTAAAAGGAGCAGTCTTGTAATTTCATTTTTTATCACTTAAAGTATATAAAGATGTGGGTGTTCTCGTTGAACCCCATGAATGTGCTATGTCAATGTAATTTCATCGTTTATCACTTAAAGTATAAATAATGTGGTTGTTCTATTACATCTCATATGAAGTTGTATTTTGTGATAACCAAACTGCTATTTATATTACATCAAATCTAGTTCTTTATGAAGGGACATAGCACATTGAACAAAAGCAAGGTACTGATACTTAAAGGGTGCAGTCTTTTATACTGAACCTATGGTGGTTGAGTACAAAAGATGTGATTCAGTTGTAGTTCTTTATATTTTAGGATTAGGAGAGAATTGTGAGGGCTAAAAATCCATCAACAGTGACTGTTCCAACATTTTCGCACCAAAACAAAGATAAGAAATGCTTCCAAACAGCAAAAACAACATTGCAGCTGATTAGCAAGTGGAGAGTGGTTTCATGAGTAGCTTTATAGAACTAATATTACCTATGAGGTGACAAGGAACAAGGTATTCTTCTTTGGAGGAGCTCATAGGTGTTGATGTTCTAATGGAACACTTGTCAAAACAATGCTCTTAAATTCAAAGGGAACTAGGCCTAACCAAAAAATCCTACAATATCTATTTTTTCAAAAAATGAAACTCCTAGAATATCAAGTCTTGCTAAAAAAAACTGTGATATTACTGGGTTACCAAATGACAACATAGAAAGAGTATGTCTGGAGAATATAGTAGTTGTTAATGAATTCTCATAACTTTGGTTGTAGGAATTGAAATTTTTTATGTTTATAGATTCTTCCGAACAAATTACAATTTTTTTTGATAAATGAGTAAACAATTTTATTAAAGAGAAAAAAAAAAGAAGAGTACAATCAGTTCCTAACAAATTACAATTCTAGAACTATTCAATTAGAATCTTATACAAGTATTCAATTAAGCAGGATAAATCACAAAGTTAAATCTACCACAAAACATTCCAACCTCAACAAGACAGACTTGATACTTTTCTTTTACAAATTACAAGTACATATTACTGTATCCACATGGAGCTTTAAGTTTTCTTTTACAAACTACAAGTACCAATTACTGTATCCGCATGGAGTTTAAGTTTCCAATACAGTGCAAAACAATTAGACTTATGAGCCCGTTAAAAAGGAAAATCTGGATGGAGTGAGGCCAGAGAATCATGGAAAGTTAACAACAAGTGGTTACCTAAGTTATTGTATGCTTCTGCATATGAAGGATTTGCAACAATAGCTTTCTCAATCATACTTGCTGCAGCATCCATTTTACCCTGCAAGCTTAAAAAAATAGTTAGTGATCAGGTCAAACATGACATTAGTTCAAACATATATGTAACAAAATAATAGATATACTGAAATAATATACCTGGACAGTATAGACAACGCCAAGGTTGTTTAGGGACTGAGAAAAGTTTGGTTTGATTCTTAGAGCCAACTGTGTAGTGCAAAAGAAAAAAAAAAAAAAAATCAATGGCATTCACCTTAAGGACAAAGACCCCAAGTATCATGCAAACAAGTACATGTAATAGATGACAAACTATAAGCATGGAGAGAACTTGCTTGATAACATTCCACAGCTTTATCAAGGTTGTCTCTGTCTTTGTATATTACTCCTAGATTGTTGCATGCCTCCGCACATTGGGGATTGAAGTGCAGTGCAAGTTCATAAAACACAACTGCCTGCATGGACAGAATTGCCTATTCAATTGCCTTTAGATATACCTTAGGAAAAAATAAAATAATATGTGGCAGTACCAGACATAAGCAAGAAGAAGACAGCAATTTCAGAATGTCAAAAAAAGGCTTACATAAGAATAAGATCTAAACAGATTCCAAGAGGGTATCCTATGCATGTCACTAACCATGTCAAACTTAAGCATTTCACCATATGCAACACCAAGATTGTACATAGCATCAGCATAGTGCCAATTGTAATACAGAGCTTTCTTGTAGTATGTCACACCTTGATTTATGTCTCCTTCCAATTTGACCTAAATAGACAGCCAAATCCAAAATCAGAAATAAGAAAAATGAATCACCACTCTACAGTGAAGGGAAATTGATACAACACTGTAAAGTGATTTCTAAAAGCTAATCAAATGTCATTGGAAAGGTAAACTCTTATTCAAACTCATCCTTTCAACAGTAAACAAATGAAGGCAACAAGACAAGTGATAGATTTAGGAAACAAATGCTAGTAATCAGGACTGTTGCTTTGTCAACAATCACCTGTAGACAATGCATTACATCGTAAGATTGAATTAAGGGAAGTGATGAAAGCTTTTTTCTTAATGAGGAAATAAAACGAAAATAGCAAGTTTACCGATTTCACATCATCTAACCTAGGAAATAAGGACATCAGCATTCCAAGAGCAAAGAAAAGTTTCTATTTATAACTCGATCTCCATAACATCTAAGACATTACTCAAGTTCAATCAGATCCAGAAGCAGCAGCGGTAGTAGTTACTTGTCAGGTCACTTATACCCATGAATCTTCCAGGTTGCAGATGGGTAGGACCCAAAAGGGCCTCCTGATTTCTTGCTTTTTAACAAAGAAGAAGGATGTTGATGCAGGAGCTGAATAGTCAAAATTGGAATTTTGTGAAATTTTATGTATTTCTGTATTTTTGGACACCGTAGATATTTTTAACATTTTACAGTTTTTCTGTAGGGTCCAATAATAGGGTTTGATTGTCTATTTATAGTTTGCTTATGTTTAAAATTTCAAAGTCATTGCAAAAGTAGGATTAGAGTTCTTGAGTCTTCTTTGAATTGAAAAGGATGTGACAGCTTAGTTTGAGTCCTACTAGGATTATTGAGTCTAACAATTTCACTCTTTTTTTTTATTGATCAATAACACTTTCATTAACTCATCAAAAGAAAATTTACAATAGGAAGACAAACACGCTTATCTTCCAAGAGCAACAAAGAACCTCAAGAAAAGAAAAAAAAAAATAAAGAAAACACACTATAGTTACAGCTTAGCCCAAAAAGTGAATCCCTTTCTGCCCCTTGTTTAGCTAAACCGTCAGCTAGAGAATTAGCCGATCTTTTAACCCAAAGTATCTTAACTTCCATCTCCCGCACCAGCCATTTGAATTTCCTCCTCCCATTATTGTACTTCCATAAGCCATTGTGATCTTTAATCAGCCACTCTATCACCACCTCTGAATCCCCTTCAATTAAGAGTTTCCTGATGTTCAACTCCTTAGCTTACTGTACTCCTTCCATAACCGCAAAGATCTCAGCTCTAAGGGAGTCACCCACTCCAATTGGGCCTGAGAACATAGCAGAAATGACCCCATTTTCATCCCTAAAAACACCCCCAATCCCCGAATGTCCCGGATTTCCCCTGCTACACTCATCAAAGTTTARTTTCACGAATCCACTAGGTGGAGGGGTCCAAGCCACACTCATTACTGACTTAGTATGTGTGCAATTTGCAATTTCACCCCACTTCCTCAACATGTCATCCACAGTGTAATCTGTGAAAAGCTCCAAAGATTTCAGCCACTGTACCGCCCTAATATGAATGATAGCCCTCAGATCTGCTGCTCCTCTCTGAGCTTCTGAGAATATCCTGGAGTTTC